GCGCTTCTGCCGCTGAGCTAAATCCCCAGCCCCTCTGATCATATTTTTGACATGAAGTGGAATTACTGGTTCAAAGATTGCGAACTTGTTAGGGCTCTTGCCACGTTACTTTCAAAAAAGATTATGTCTGTGCAGGAGCATGTATCTCACCACACTTTTGTCTTTATTGAGTGTTTTTATTTATGATTTTATGTCAATTTGATATCTAAAAAGGGTGTATGATTCTGTATTTATTACTTGGGAAGAGAAATACTCTTTTAATTTCTTTTTTCTTCTTCGTTACTTCTGCTTCTCGGAGGCACAGCCTGTGTTTTCCAATGCCCTGCTGTGAGTTTGCTTCTGCTAGCAGAGGCGGCAAGGGTGACTTTACAAGGTCCAGCATCGTGTGATGAAAACATCTCCGTTGTTCCTCTTGCTGTGGGCGTCGTTCTGTACAGAGGCTCCATGGGCTGTGGTGTGGTGTCAGTGGCTCTAGCATGGGTCCTCTCCTTGGTGTAGTGGTAACAAGAGTTAAGGCTGGTGATTATTAATGATGATTATTAATTCATCTAAACACACCCCCAAAATTCTCTCACATTCTACATTTCACCAGTCTTTAAGAACAATTAATTGGTGTCATGTGGCACCGTGCTCTTGCTTAGCATGTGAAACACAAGCCCTACATTGATTAGACCTTACTTGTCCAGAGTGTCTTTCAAGACTTCATTAAACGGCCTCTCTCTCCTGGTAGGGCCCAGACGAGGCATTTCCGAGCAAGTTTGTCTCTGGCTTGAGCACAGCCAGGCAGATCCTGGAAGAGGCCTCGAGGGCACTGAAGCTCCTCTGGAGAGTCTCCCTCCCAACAGATGGCCAATGTCCCCTCCATTGTGGGCAGGTAGGTGGTAACACATCCTTCATCGGGTTTTAGGGAGCCATGTTCATATCTGTTTTAACTACTTAGGAGTGACAGGTCCAGAGTGAGAGCCAGGCAGGCAGAGCCCTGCCCCAGTGTCCATCTGTGGGGTCCCTGTGTATGTTGTTACAAGGTATGCACCCAGTCTGGCTAATCAGGGAGCGCCCTGCTAGAACAGTGTACAGGCTAGGAAGGCCCGATAGGCATACCTTCCTTCATTTGTCTCTCTTATAAATGCTGTCCAAAGCCCAATGGGAAGGCAGAAGGGAACTTTGAGCTCTGTGTCATTACCACATTTCGTTAGAGCCCTTTGACGTCTCTGAGACTTGGCCAGAGAGGCAGCCCCTTGTACTCTGAATGTTCTAGTGAGGAGCCTGTGCTGAGCTTCCTCCTCGGGATCCTGGGAAGCAGTTTGGGGGCACCAAGCTCAGGGAAGTTCATGACTGTTCCTTGGGCAGGAAAATCATTTTTAGCTGATGGGGGCATTGAGTATCAGGGAGGATGGTGGGATTCAGGGGTTCTGGCCGCCATCAGCTTTTCCTTTCTTCTAATGCACCAACCTTATTCCATGGTAGCCGTAGGTGACACACACATGCTGGTTGCCTATAATGTTTCCTGTCCCTTTTCTGGTTCCTTCTCCTCTTCAAGTCTTAGCTTAAGTCCAAGTGAAAGGGGCTCCGTGATCACTCAGCCATGGTGTTGTGTTCTGTTTGATTGTAGCTCTTAGCACAAATTATGATTTTATGTTTGTTCACCCTCTGTCTTTTTTCAGGGGTCCATGTCTAGTTTGTTCATATATTTCAAGGAATAAACAGATGAGTGAATAATTTCTTCCCATACTCCCAAACTCTAGCACCTGCCCCGTATGATTTCTAAGTTAATACGTTTAAATTCAGTGCTTGACTCTCAATGCAGTAGCGTTTCTGTTTTTAGCCCATGCTGTGCGTGATACCTTTGGCCTGGTGTAAAGTGCATGTGTGGCCTGTGGGAAGTTTGTAGAAAGCAGACTTCCAAGTTTTCAGCAGCAACCCCAATGGCTTTTAACTATCTGCTGTTTAATCCCAGTATCATTAAATTCCCTTTTGCATGTAATGTCTCCTCCCATGCAGTCCATACCACTGCTTGGAAAGTACCCATCATGTGCGTGTTTATCTAAGACAGTGGTGTGTATGGGTACAAATAGAGATACATACTTGCTTAGAATACCTTTTGAGATGGAGGGTGAGAAATAAAAATACAGGCTGTGCACAGGGATGAGAAAGAAAAGATTGGAAGAGAAGGGATAAAAGCTAGATTTCTCTAACTAGACCTTGTCTTGCAGGTTTGACTTTGAAACTATATGAATATTTTACATAATTATAAACAAAACACATCAAAATAGGATAAAAAAACATTTCCAGCTGTTCATAGTAAGACAAAACATAGCACCTGAAGGGCCATAGCTGTACTGTACACAGCCCAGCGGGGATAGCCACACAAAGATGGCCGCAGTGAGGCGAGTGGACTGTCCATCCCCAGCAGAAATACTCTGAGGGCAAAAGGAACCACCAAAAAACTTCAAAACTTAGAACTGATTTCAGTGGTTATGTTGGTAGTGATAATATTGGTATTGCTATTCTGAAACTTTTATATTTCTATTGTAAGATAAATAACTTCATTAGGAACTGAGATTTTCACGTAGAGACTAGAGATATAAATATAAAACCAAAGAAATGAAAGCTCTGTAGTCCTAAATTTGAATTGTAAACATCGCTGTGGAATTCATAATGTATTTTTGATTTTAAAAAATTTACTAATTTACTCCATGTAATAAAATTCGACCCAGTGTCAGTGAGAACTATTAATGCCCAAATGATGGTTTTTAAGTGCCTCTTACCTCTAATAGGAGACAGAACTTGCTGGAGAAATGGCTTGACTGTAGGTCTGGACAGGAAATGTACAATATGAACTCAGAGTCTATTGACTTCTGGTAATAAAGGAAGGAGGCAAGGTGGAAGCGGAACCTGTAGATTTACAGTGCTTCACAAAGTGTGAGCCCTGGAAGTTGTCACCTAGAAACTTGTCACAGTGCTAGAACTCGCCCCAGACCAACTGAATCAGCCATTCTAGGAGTGGCCCCAGCAGCCTATATTTATAGTCCTGCCCTGGAGCTTCGAGACCTCACTGTGTTAGAAGAAACTTAAGAGATCATAAATGCAAACTGTGAATCTTATTTGGGTCCTGTGAATCAAACCAATTATTTTAAAAAATTAAATTATGAAACAATCAGAGATCTATGCCCACTGAGTCCATATTTGGTGATACAGATTGAGTATCCACTGTTTGAAATGCTTGGACCAACCAAGTGGGTTTGTATATTTTTGGGTTTTTTTTTTCAGATTTGGAGCACAGGTTGAGCATCTCTGACCTGAATCCAAAATTCATTGGCTCAAAAAGTTTCAGATTTTAGAGCATTTGAGTCTTAGACTTTCAGGTTAGGGATGGACTAAGAAATTCAACCTGGACTAAGAAATTCTTTCATTTTTTAGATATGTTAATGATATTTTTGGATTTTAAAAAATGCTCTTTTCTCCCCCGAGAGATATATGTGAAAATATTTTATGGATTAAAAGATATGATTGGTTTCTAGGACTGGTTTCAAAATGATCTCAAAGAGAGGCTCAGTGGTGGTGTGGATGAAGCTAGTTTGGCCTTGAACTGACCATTGCTAAGGCTGGATAGGTCCCAGGGGGTCATTATCCAGTTCCTTCTGCTGTTGTAAATGTTTGAAATGTTTATCTTGTAAAGGAAAAGAAACAGGTGAAAAGACCCATCCTAGAATTGAACTGAACACTGGTGGAGAATGTTTGCCTTCCTGGGAGGGGAGAGGCTTGCAGCTCTGAGCTCAGCGCCAAGGCACTTAGGAAGAGTTGTTCCCCTGAGTGCTGGTGGGCTGCCCAGGACCCTGCTTACACTCAGCATCGCATTTGCCTGTAGTGTGGCTTAGGGAGTTAGGTGTTCTTTTTTTCAATTAGCAAATGGGAAGCACATTTGAACTGTCCTTACACCTTGTATTTTTATTTTTTTTAATATAGTGTTATTTTTATTTGACGCGAAAGTTGGAGCTAAACTCTAGAGAGTTAAATGGCCCAGTGAGGAAGTGCCAGAGCCGTGCTTCGGAGCCCTTGCTGTTTTTACTCTAGTGTCTTTCTGTAAAAATGAAGACTGGATCCTAGTGGAACAGCAGACATATAGTAATTATAATTAGAGTTTCTTGTTTGAGGTGCTAGACAGGACATGTACGGGGTGTTAGGAAAATGGCAGTGAAAACAAGCCTGCCAGTTGACAAATGGTGTCATGGCACCTGCTCTGAGCCAGGCATGGGTGATCAGAGGGCGCTTACTGATGCGGCAAGTAAATGACCCGTTATTGCCGTCACTGTGACAGTACAGTGATGGGGAAAGGATCGCAAGTGAAACACCCCGGAGGAGGTGAGAGCTGAGCTGACTGTAGAAAGGGGAGTAGGAGTTGGCCAGGCAGGTGTGCAGTCATCATCTCCTCAGCTCCCCCATCACCTGCAGGAGAGCCTCACCTTCCTGCAGTGTGGTAGAGATTGTCGTTCCAATATCGCAGATTTTGTAGTTAAAGCTGAATGTGGGGTGACTTTGTCCTAGAATGTATAACCAGTGGAGCCATGACCAGAACCGAAGTCTTTGTAGACTTGTAGCCTGCAGGAGAAAAATCAAAGCAAATGTAATGTTTAAATTAGGATCTGTTTTGGAAGAACCATTAGAAAGCCTTGTACCTGACATGATTGGTTAATCTTAAAAGTAGGTTAAGGCAGGGAATCAAAAAATGATACATACCTTAAACATTTTAGTTTAACTTAAACCAGATAAATGTACATTCATTTGCCATTCTTTTGATGTGAGGCCAGGTCTTTTCTTTGAATATGGCTCTGCTGATTGGAGTTCCACATCTTCTTTCTTTTATAAGCCACATTCATAATGTATGTCTGTCACTTCCAATTTCTGTTTCTTTAAGATGAAGAGAAAACTTAGACACTCACAAAGCAATCTGAATATAGAATTCCTGTAGTCTGTGTTCCTCCCACATCCTTTATAGTTGTCTCACCCACACCTAATTTGCCAGAAATATGTTTTCCAGTGACTCATTTTTATCTGGTCTTCCCTAAAGTATATGTTAGTTTTCATCCAGGTAGCTCTCTGCCCATATACATAGTTCACAGTTTTACTTAATATTCAGTTAAATTCTATAATTTGATTATAAGTACAACAGCCATGAACGTGTTTGGGAACAGACTACAGGGACACTCCATAAGCTGACAACATGGCTCCTCTTGGAGCAGAGGTATTTCACTAAAGTAGCTGGTGGCAGGATGTTTTGCTGAGCGGAGGGGGATATCTTCTGCCTTGGGCTGGTTAAGAGGGTCTGTGCTATGTGTTTCATTTCAGAGAATTGGGGAGGTGGTTTGCTTCCCATCCACACTTCACTCTGAAATAGCAAAATAAATCCTTCTCATGGATCATACTCTTTTTAATACCTTTGTATTATCTTTATAAGACTTAAACATTACTCCTTGCTGTATACCCAAAGAGTTAAAGCCAGCATACGATAGACCAGTGGTCCCCAACCTGTTTGGTACCAGGGACCAGTTCTGTGGATGGGGGAGAGGGTTAGATTTCTTTCTAAAATTAGTATGTGTGTGTGATACACAGTGATTACATTCTTCTGTGCTAGCACTACTGCCTCAGCTCTACCTCAGATCATTGGGCATTAGATTCTCATAAGGAGCATGCAACCTAGATGCATGTACAACCTTGCATGTACAATTCACTGTAGGATTCATGCTTCTATGAGAATCTAATGCTTCTGCTGATCTGATGCGAGGCTGAGCTCAGGCAGTAATGCAAGTGATGGGGAGTGGCTGTAAATAGAGATCAAACTTTGCTCACTTGTTCACCATTCATCTTTTGTGTGGCCTGGTTCCTAACAGGCTGTGAACCAGCATTAATCCATGGCCTAAGTGTTGGGGACACCTGCTGTAGAGATACCTTCATACCTATGTGTATTGTGTCATTGTTTACAAATATCTAAGCTATGGAATCAGCCCAGGTGCCTGTCAGTGGATGAATGGATAAGAACATAGAGCTTTATTTATTGCTATCAAAAATGATAGTATGGGGGCTGGGGATTTAGCTCAGTGGCACAGCGCCTGCCTGGCAAGCACAAGGTCATGAGTTCAATTTCTGGTACCGAAAAAAAAAAAAAAAACAAAAAAAGAAAAAAATGATAGTATGATACAAATTGAGTATTACCCATAAAGAACAAAATCATGTCATTTGCAGGAAAATGGAAGGAACTGGAGATCATCATGTTAAGTGAAATAAACAAGACTCAGAAAGACAAATCTCATGTTTTCTTGTGTGCACAATCTAGAAAAAAAAATTAAAGCAGCACTATAGACCCACAGCCTGAAGAAGAAAAGTTTGATTTAGGTCACATTTTCAGGAGATATTCTGTACATGATTGGCAGGCTCCAAAGCAGAGACATCACAGCCAAACAATATGGTGGAGCAGAGCTGCTTAGTTCATTACACCCAGGAAGCAGAGCAGGGGAACAGTGCCAGAGAATAATGGGTGACAGCCTATATGTAGTACCAAGGCCACACCTCCATGACTTGGCCTCACATACCCATGACCATGGTTTAGTAATCATTTAGGCATTTCTTAACCCAGTGAGGTTGATATTTCAGGATTATCTCTCACAATCCACCCCTTGTGCATTTCACACCCAAATACATCTCCTTAAACCATAATGAATCTCCAAAGAAAGATAATAGCAAGTTCATAATGCTACCTAATATAATACAGCTATTCTGAGTATATCCAGAACTGGGATAATCCTTTCCCCAGATTCTCAACAGTTCCAGCATTTTCCAGAAGCCTCTTTTGAGTCTCAAGGCAAATTGTTAGCTCTGAACCTATGTTAAAAAAAAGAAAAAAAAAGTTACATAATCCCCAGATCCAGTGGTACAAGGTAGACATCCTCATTCTAAACAAGAGTGTGGAGGATAGAGAAGAATCAGACCAAAGTAAGACTAAAACATAGCAGGGCAAACATTAAGTCCTGTGGCTCCATCCCTGGCATCCAAGAGCTTGGCAGCCCCACCCCCGTGGCCTTGCTAGTTGTAGCCCACAAGTCCTCTCTTGGGCTGGCTGCACCCACTGCTTGCAGTTTTCCTCAGCAGACTTACTACAGTCCTGACATCTCCAGCTTCCCAGGGTCCCCACTTCAGCTTTGGCTTCACTCTCACAGCTTCCTCTTTGGGGCTATTTACCTGGCCTCTTGTGCCTTCCTTTGAAATCTGAGTGGAAGCCTCCCTGACCCCACAACTTTTACATTCTGTGTGGTAGTAAAACAAGCATCATGGGAATGACACTAAGGTCTGCTGCCAGTAGAAGCAGTAACCAGTTGCTGTTGGACCATGGCTGCACCCCATTTCCCAGGACAAAGGGCTCTTTGTTTTGGACCCCAGTCCCAGCAGGGGTTCAGATATTCAAGGCCAACCAAGGTTCTTTATGCCTGTGAGTTGACAGGTAAGAGAGACCATATATAGTATCCAAGGCCACATTTCCATGATCACCCATACACACCCAGGACCATACTTTACTAATCTGCTAGGCACTGTCCAGTGATGTTGACAATGAGGATATATGAGGATTAATGGTCACAACCTTAAACAATTTGAAATCATATCTCTTGGAGATAGCACGATTAATGTTTTGTTGCCGTCTCAGTGAACACATCAATGGATGTAGATACATGTGGTGTGTGTTTGTGTGTATGGGAAACAGGAATGCTGTAGATACACAGTCTGTGTTCTGGAATCTTTTTGTCACTTACTGTAATTTTCTTTTGATAGCAGTAAATAAAGCTCTAAACATAATTTTTAATAGAGGCAAAATTGTTCCTTTTTTTAAGTACCATTACTTACTGAGATTTGTATTAAACAAATCAGGTTGCATATTTTTTCCTACCATAATAGTGCCAAGGTTAACATCATGGACACAGGCATCTTCTTGAGCTCATGCTGTTATTCCTTGGGGTAAGTGCCATAGTAGAGGGTTGCTGGGTCAGAGACCAAGTGCTTTTTACACTTCCTAGCTGGGCCATGCCAGTTTAGTCCCACCAGAGGTTAACAAAACTGCTTTCTCCTCGCCCCACTGGACTTTATCCAGTTTTGTCAATTTGAAGGGCGGATAAAGGCTTCCAGTTTTTATTAAAGTATCTTTGCTAGGGCGGGGGATATAGCCCAGTGGCACAGTGCCTGCCTAGCAAGTGCAGGGTCCTGAGTTCAATTCTTGGAACAAACAAAACAAACAAATATCTTTGCTAGTGAGGATGAACATCTTTTGACATGATTTTGTCATTCTTCCTATGTGATATGTGATTGATGATTGTGGTACTGGAGATTGAACTGAGGGCTTTTGCACTGAGCAATGACCCCAGCTCTCCCTGGCTTAATTATTCATTTTGTGACAGGGTTTCCTTAAGTCACTAAGTTGCCCAGGCTGGGTTCAAGCTTGCCATGTTCCTGCCTCATGTTTTGTATTCTTAGTTCACTTTTTGAATTCCTTTTCTTTTTAGATAAGTGAAATGAGAGCAGAGATCACTAAACTACATAAAAAACTGTTTGAACAAGAGAAGAAGTTGCAAAACACCGTGAAGCTTTTGCAGCAGAGCAAACACCAGGAAAAAGTCATCTTTGACCAGTGTAAGTGGGCACGTGGGAGGTGGCTGCTGTGTCTGATGCTTCTTGCCTCTGAAGGCTGACAGTACAGCCCTCGCTTGCTGGGTCGAGGCCCTGGCTAATCATGCCTCTTATTTGTGGGTTTCTTTTCATATCTCATCCTTTCTGCTCTGCATAGACCAGTCTTCTCTGACTTTACCTTTCCAGAGGGACTGCGCAGTGCCACAGACTGTCCTCTGGCTCGGGGGAGAGGTGTATGGCAGGTGCTTCTCAGGAGCACCGAGGAGGCAGTGGCTGGTTGTCACTCTGTTCTGGGAGGAGGTGGGTGTCCTAGCTGAGGCTGAAAGGAGGAGTAGCTGTTGTCAGGTAGAATAGGAAGTGCAGTGTAGGGCAGAAACAGCAGGGATAGAGGCAGGAAATAGGGTTTTGTCTGTGAAACCGGAAGTAGCTCCTGGTACTGTAGTAAAGTGGGAGTTGCCTGTGGGCAGTTGAGAGGGAGAGGCAGGGGCCGGGGACTGTTGTGAAAGGCCTCAGGGGCCTGCCTCAGGGCAGCTCCTACGTAGACTTGGATCCACCGGTCACATCTGTGCGTGATAAGGCTCACCAGGCTGTTCCACCAGTGAGCAGCCAGGACAGGCAGGAGTGGTGGCATCCAAAGGCGATGTGGCTTCAAGGACTCCAGTAGGCCGATGCAGAACCTCAGGAGCTGGCAGTTCTGTAAGGTCAGTTCTGCCTCTGGTCTGCTGGCTCGGAGGTGTGGGAGCAGCTTGCTCCTGGTGTAAACCCTCAGCACCCCAGCCACTGTGTTCAGTACCTCCAGGGACAGGGCCCTGCCCTGCCCTGCCCTGCATGCACCATCTGCGTGGCGGTCTGCCCCGGGAGAAGTGCTGAGTGGGGCACCTGCTTCTCTGAGGTGCCAGCAGCCTTTTGCTGCTCCCTTTTCCAAGCCCAGAATTCTAGGGTGTTCCTTGAAGGCACAGGAAATCATTTATTGGAGGAAAGTAGGATTTCCTCCTTAGTGACCCCCAAGAATCTTCTGAGAACAGACCCCTGAGACTGGCTGAGTTGGAACTGCAAGCGGGAAAAACTTAATCATCAACAGGCCTGGGATACCTGTCCTGCGCACCCATGCCAGGTCCAAGGACAGAGGTGAGTGAGGAGCCTGGGCTTTATGGAAGGGTGTCAGGTCAGAAAGATTTGCGACATGATGAGGTACATCCCCAGAAGCCTAAGAGGTGTTCCAGGCGCTGGTTCAAGACTGGTTGGGTTTTGAGGGATCAGTAGGAGTCAGATAACCAAGGGGCAGGAACTGGTCCTGCAGAGGATCACCTTGTGGCCTCGTACTTTGAAGCACCAGAGCGGTGAGTATTCTCAGGCGCACTTAGGACCTGCCAGGGACCAGGTGACTTGGAGCCTGTGGGCTGGACTTGAGCAGCAGCAACGACTTGCGTGTTCATTTGTGTATTAGATGATCCTGTGACTGAGCCTGCAGGCCAAGGGGAGACCTGTGGGGGACGGGGTCTGGGACAGGCCCGTAGGCAGGCAGCCGGGAGGCCAGAAGGGCCACAGGATGCTGAAGGGGAGAGGATGGTTTTGAAGGATAGCAAGGAAGTCCTCTCAGCAGAGGGCTAGATTCTGTGTCTGGCTGAGGAGTTCATGTACTTGGGAAAAGAGGAGCACGGGGGGAAGGGGCAGTGCCCACCGTGGTTGTGTTGAGGTAGCTTTGGAGCATTTTTGGGTCAGACTCCTGGGGCAACAGAGGGAAATGATGCTTTGTAGAGCTGCTGGTCCTGAAAAGCAGAACCTTACTTCTGCTCAGCAGCCCAGCCCGAGCAACCTCGGAGTATAAAGCTAGCACCAGCCCTGTCTTCGGGAGAGGACATTTCTGAAGGAGGCACAGTTTAGCTCGCATAGGTTGTTACTGTATCAGAAGAGGACAGAACCGTGTGTGGCCCGCTTCCTTGGTTGGTGAACGAGGAATCCTGCATGAGTACAGTTCAGAGCTCTGTTCTCCTGTGTGACCTGGGTCAAGTGCCCTTGACTCTGGGCCTCATCTCTAACCAGAGACGATAATTCTGAGGGACAGAGGCTGGCCACACAGCCTGGGGTCTACTCCAGCTGTGTAGAAAGCACCTCCATTTTCTCCGCTGTGGAACAGGGGTGAGGATGCTTAGCACAGGGCCAGAGCAGAGCAGAATTTCCGCGGGTGTTAGATTTCGCCTTCTTCCTTTTGGTTAGTCTGGACAGAGTGCTTCGCACAGACGTGGCAGATGATTCAAAGTAAGAACCCCCAAACGTCTGATAGCATTTCCCTTCCTGATGTGGTGTCACCCGTCTCTGTCTCCAGGGCCTGACCTGCAGCAGGCTTGGCTTAGGGTGGGATGACAGGCTCGCCCCGGGTCGCACAGCCACTGGGCAGCCCAGGCCCGCCCCCTCTCCCTGTGGGGGGCTCTCAGCTGGTCCTGGGCATTCCCCAGCCCCTCTGAGCCTCCCAGGTCTGCTTCTGGCCCTACGTGACTGAGTGAGGGCGGCATTACCGTTTCCTCTGTCTCGTTCCCCACACAGTGACAGGGACAAGCAGGGGCAGGGCTGGTTGGGTTGGGCTCCCTCCCTCCAGAGTCAGTAGAGAGTAGGGAAAGGGGGTCACTAAGGAGGAAATCCTACTTTGCAGTAATTGATTTCCTGTGCCTCTGAGAAAGACCTCAGAAATGCTGGGCTGGGAAGAAAGCAGCAGCACAAGGCTGGCGTTGCTCCCTCGCTGCTGGTAGATCTGGAACCACTGGCTTCACTTCTGAACCCACGTCCTCATTTGCCAAGAGAGGGCAGTGAGCTGTCCCGCGGGGCTGGGGTCTTCAGTGGTACTGGCCTGTGGCCAGGTGCATCTTCCTAGCAGGCTTCTGCCAAGATGGGAGGAGGCTTGGACGGAGCTGGGTAGCCCTGGGTGTGAGCCACTTCTCTGCACTGGGGCCAGTCTTGGTTTGGGGCACATTCTTCACTGTCCTGTCCCTCAATGTTCGTATCGCAGTGGGGGTTTCTGCGCTTTAGAACATGGGCAGTGCTGTTTAGAGGTAAGGGCCACTTCAAAACCTGGCCAGGTGACCCTTAGCTGTAACGATGAATTTGTTCTCTGGGTACATTTGGTACTGTTTCAGGACTATTTTTAACCACCTTACCATGGCACGTAATCTTTTTGGGTCACAGGCCCCTTGGTGAATCTTGGGAAAGCTGTGGTCCCACTTACCAGTAAAATGTGTGTTTTCATGCGGACACACACACACACACACACACACACACACACACACACAATCTCCAGAGTTTAGCCCCTCCACACACACACATTTATACACTATGTCCAGGCTGCAGAGCCTCACACACACACTTACACAAATGTTTCTGGTGTTTGGGGTCTTACACACACACACACACACACACACACACACAGTTGACACCCTGTTTGTGCTTCAGGCCCACTCCCTCCACTTGCACACTATACACGCGGGGTAAGAACAAGAACTTCCACTCCGCAGCCTGAGGCGGGGATGGAGGCTCAGAGACACAGGGGCTCTTCTGAAGTTCCTTTTGTGCTGTTAAAAACAAAGCCCAGATGCCTGCCCCCTGCCCCTGATGTCACAGATCGCAGATACATTTTGTTGCTCCACATGGAAATTTTTGCAAAAGAAGAAGAAAAGTCTGTCTTCAAGGCCACGGCAGAGCCCCTATTCTGAATGAGACACTGGGGAGCTGGGCCCTGTGTGTGGGTGGGTCCTTCCTCCTCACACACCTCCGGCCCCTCCCCAGGGAGCGGCCTGGTCCCACCGTTGGCACACTGGTCAGAACAGGTTCAGGGTCAGCTCCAGCCAGCTGCGCAGTGCCCTTCCTGCCGCTGCTGTTTATGTTGGCCAAGGAGAGTGTGAGGGAGGCAGGGGCCTTTCCTCACAGGAGCTCCCTGAGAGGTGGGCGCCCCTGCTGCTCTCCCCAAGTTCTGCAGCCGCCCAGCTCCCAGCTTGGGTGTCAGTCAGCAGCAACCCCTGCAGCCCCGAGCTCCCTCCTGTGCCGGCAGAGTGCGCCTTGCCTGGGGGAAGCACACTGGACTAACGCAGGCAAAAGAGACAGAAATGTCCAGGCTTCCTTTCCCCAGGCTGGGAGGAGCTTGCTGCAAGAACCGCTGGGTAAAACATGGCTCCACATACACGTTTGCCTCCCATAATGCTTCTGGGTGCTGACAGGGCAGGCCTCTCCGCTGCCTATGCCTCACAAGATGAGTTTGGGGTACCTGCTTAGCCAGCTGGAAATGCAGAGCGTTGGTGTCCACTCTGTGAAACAGCATAGCCTGTCCCTGAGAGGTTGTGGCTTAGTGAGGACTTGAAGAGGTGTCTGTGGTCCGCCCTTCTGGATGGGTTCTTTGGCTGTGGGGCACGTGGTGGGCAGGCGGGGCCCGTGTGCTTCTCTCTGGTCCCGTGTTCAGGGCTATCCCTGCAGCTGAGCCCTCCAGCTGGGGCTCTTCCTCTCTGCGCTCAGCTTTCACCTGCCCGCCTGACATCAGTGTCTCATCGTGTGTCCTTTGCTGTCTCCTTAGTGGTCATCACCCACAGAGTCCTGCGGAAGGCCAGAGGGAACCTGGAGGTAATGCCTCTGCAGTTTCTGTCTCTGAAAGGCTTCTGGTGGCTGGGGTGGGTCCAGGGCCGTGGCTTCCTTTGAAACCTGAAGTGGAAGGTGGAACCAATGGACGTGTGTGCCACACCCACTTGTATTTTTTGGCCAGCATAGCATGAAAAATTCCATTTTCTAAAATTAATTTTATTGGTACACTTTTGATATATGTGATGATCACATTCATCATAGGGAGTTTGTCCCTGTACCTAATATATATTGATTCTTCTTTTTTCCCCATGCCCCTGCCCTCCCTCAACCTTTCTTCCCCTCTCCACTTACAAAAACTTTATTTCCACCTTTTTTCCTTCTGCTCTCTTTTTTTATCCCTTTTCCCTTCCTTCCCTTTGCCCTCTCCCCTCTGTTTTGTCGTGCCTGTCATGAGTGGCTGTTCTGACTTTTAGATTTGTTTTTACCAGTGAGAAGCACAGCAAACGGTGGCTGGCACATAGTAGGCATTTGTAATTCCCTGGACCGAGAACGCAGCATGATCTCGTTGTCGTTTTGTTCTGTAAACATGTACTGATCACACTGTATCTTTGAAAACAGTTTTAGAATAGCATCTCGCCTTTAACTCTGTCGGGGATCTCACTTCAGAAACCCTCCACTGACCTAAAATTCTCCTTTCTTTCCTTCCTTTCTCCTAGCTTAGGCCCAGGGGGGCCCACCCGGAGACATCCAGTCCCAGCAGACCCGGCTCCTGAGGACAGTTGCCAGCCAATAAAGCTTGTGGCCCCGGATCCCGCTGTGTCTGTTTCTCTCGGGCTCCCGGTGGTGGTGGAAGGAAGAGCTGCTCGGCCCAGGACGTCCATCCTTCCCTCAGGGCTTTGTCTTGAGTTAGCTTGGGGGTGGTTGTCCCCAAGGTTCAGAGGCCCCGAGGCGAGCGGTTGGAAAGGCCCTACACTCTGCGGTGCTGCGTTGGGTCTGGGCCAGGAACGTGGGGCCGAGGCCGGGCCTGTGGGAGGCTTCACAGGCTCCCCTGGCTTTGCCTCGCTGTCGGCCAGCGCCATGGCTTGAGCTTCTCCTTGAATGACTCCTCTCACTTCAGTGGCATGATTTGGGGCCTGTGTGGAACCTCAGAGCCCAAACTCCCATGAGGGACAGGCCAGGGTCTCAGGGGCCCATGGTCCTTGGGTCGTGCGTGCCTGGATCTCACTGCTACGCCCACCGGGGTGTCCAGGGAACAGGCTTTGTGCAGCCTGGCCCTGGGCACTGTGCCTGTGCCCAGCTGTCTTGAGAGCAGCCCTCTGAGGCGGCACTGTCCCTGATTGGGAAGGAGCTGCGTGAGCCAGGGGCTGGAACTTGGCCTTCGCACTGTCCCCTCCGTATCTGCTCTGCTGCTGGTGTACTTGCTGCAGCCCTGTCATCGGCTGTTTGCCTGCTTATCCGTAACCTATGCCCCAAGCTTCACCGTGCCCCTGCGAAGTAAGCAAAGCAGGGCTGAGCCCCTTTCGCAATGAGTCTCAAGTCTGGTCCCAGGTACGTAGCAGCCCTGAGAGGCAGTGGCAGACGGACTCCCCAGCCATGCTTTGCCCCATGCCATACCCGCCCGGCCTTGCTCTTACTCCCCCACAGCCCACGGCCAGTGTCAAAGAGCCGCTGCCACCAGCAGGTGGGCCTGGGTTGGGGAGCCCACGGAGCCCTGACTCGGTCTCCCTCTGTGTCCCTGTTGCTTTCATTGTTCTGGGGACGTGAGCGTCTGGGTGACCACTCCATTTGCTTGCCCTCTGAAGTCCTGCCTGCTGATATTCTGCCTCTAGCCACAGCCCCCCATCCTTCCAGCCTGCTCCCTGATTCCTCAGAGATTCTCATCTCAGCCCTCTACCCTCTGTCCCTAAGCAACTTTCCTGTCTTCAGTTTTCTGGGCTTTTCTTTCCATGCTCAGCTCCCACCCCAGCCCTGCAGCAGCCAAAGCGCTGAGAAAGTCCTGCACCTGCTTGGGGTGTGCCCCATCACCCCTGCAGTCATGCCATCTGCCCTCTGGTCCACATGTGAGCCTCTGGCAGGGTTTACCAGGACCTGGCTCTGGCCTCTCGCTCCTCTCTCGTCTTGTGTCCTTGCACTCCACCTGGCTCCAGGTAGACAGCTGTCCCCAGCTCAGACAGGGCCTCGCTGTCTTTCCTGGTCTTGGCCAGAATGTTCCCTCTCGGAAATACTGCCCCTGCCCTTTCTTTTTCTAGCTAGCTTGGAGTGGTCCCCCAGAAATCTCCCTTTGAGATGCTGGCTTACATGCTTTTGCCACCCCATGCCTGCCACTCCCTGTCTTCCCAAACGCCTGGAAATGTCCCGTTTTTTGGCTTTTCGAGACAGGATCTTGCTATGCAGTTCAGGCTGGCCTTAAACTCACTTAGTAGCCCAGGCTGGTCTTGCAACAATCCTCCTGCCTCAGCCTCCCGAGTGCTGGGATTACAGGCATGTCCCACCATGCCCAGCGATGTCTCGTGTTTACATTGAGTGCAACCCCAGGCATTCAGTACACAGCTGAGCACACAGGACCAGCCTCTGGGGGAGACTTGATCATAGGAGGCACTGCCTTCGCATTTGCTCTGTCCATGTGACTCACAGGCATCCCTGTTAGCACCTTGCTGAAGCCCCAGAGCCCCCGGAGGGTTGTGGAGGTCCTCAGGATCTCTGCCTGCACAAGAGAGGCAAGGCCTTAGCCCTTAAGTGGTGGAGCAGGGCCTCCATCCCTTCTGCCCTTCTAAACCGTGGAGTGGCTGCCCACAGCTGCCGGACATGATCCGAAGTGACAACCGCTCGACTGGAGACGGAGGGAGCAGAATGCGTGGGAACAGGCGTATCCCAAGCATGCTCTTCCTCACCTGTGTCCACTCACTGAGGGGCTGGGCAGGTGTCAGGGCGGCCCTTCCTGCTTGGCTTCCTGTTGCCTGCTTTCTTCTTGAGCAGCTGCACCTCGTTTTTGTACTTGCCCATGTGTGAAAACTCAGCGTCAGGCATCACGTCACGCATGGGTTTCGCTTTCCAGGAGTCGTCGTCGACCTCCTGAGAGGAAGCTTAGTCTGCTGAGAAGTCCAGATTCCAGTCCTGGGTTTCATGTTTCTGTCCTTGGTCTCTCCATCTGGCAAATGGGAGTCACCCTTCTGCCTGATCCCGGTGACAGTGGTGAGCTTCAACATTTAGAAGGAGCTGAACAGCAAGACTTGCTGAAAATCAGTGACTCGGCTTCCCTGTCTGTGGGGCTGGTCTCGAGCGTAGTTTGTAATGCTTTTTGGAGTCCCTGTGTCAGATGTGCACAGATGCGTTGTGTGTGTGCGTGTGGGTACGTGTGGTGTGTGGGCTGTTCACGTCATGATTTGTGCTTGGGCTAGGCTTAAAGTCAGACTTGCTTCAGATGTACCTGCAGGGAAACCATACTGCCTTGCTTTGTAAGTGGTTAGCACACAGCACGTGGGAGCTGGACTTGGTCATTGCCAAGGGCTGGGGGTCCTGGACAGGGAGGAGCCCCTGATACATCCAGGGCAGTCTGGCTGCTAAACCTAGGCTTGTCTCGGAGCAGGGCCTCTGGGAGCCCAGCTGGCTATGTACTTCAGGTCAGCCGCAGCTTTCCGGGAACCCAGTAATCCAAAACTAATACATTTTTATCCTTCATTTTAAAACATTCCCAACCTTGGGCTAGTGAAGGCCCTCCTTCTGGGAGGTGGAGGAGCAGCCGGGTTTTGTTTGGGCTGGATCAGAGCCAAGAACAAACTCTGCAAATAAGGACAATTTGGAAAAAGCTCCATTGTCCCTGGTGAGTTAATTTTACCAGCAGCTGAATTCAGGAGGCTCTGAAGCAGTAATCAGAAAACGCGTCAATTTCCCGTTGGTGAAATTAATCACCACGTGTGACCGAGCAGCCACACCTGAGAGAAACAGCTGCAGCATCTCTGTATATATGGAGCGAGAGTCGGGTGAGAGGGAGTTGAAGCAGCAGGCCGCTGCTCGCCCCGCTTGGGAGTGGGGCTTTGACTCAGGAGCCTCCGTGCCCACCGCCTGTCATGAGGTGAAGACGGGATCTGTGACCCTCTGTGCGGCGCCTGCCTGGATCACAGCAGCCCCAACCTGCACCCCTGCATCACTACATGAATCCGCACCCATTACTCATTTCACAAATGAGCAAATAAAGCGGTGGAGGCAGATTTGACCCTGAGCCTGTCAGAACCTGTTATCTGGATTATCCCGCCCCGCCCCCCATCAACCCATCCCCTCCCCCATGATGTCTGAAAAACTGCAGCCTTTCTCTGGGTTGCAAGCCAGAGTCCTCACCCTGCCCCTCTGACGTCATGTTTCCGTGTGACCAGAGCAGGGGCCCAGAGACCCACAATTGAATTCCTACACACAGAAGCCTGAGAGCTGCTTGTAAATGGCCCATGGATGGAGAAGAGTGATCTTGTTAATAAGTTCTCGGCTTTGTGGAAGCAGAGAAACCTGCCTGGGGGAGCCCAGCTCTGCCAAATTGCCTCTTCAATCTTGGCTATATTTTAAGTCTAACTCAAAAATTCAATTATCAAAATTACTCATCCCGTCTCCTGAGAAAGCCCAGCTCTGCCTCAGGGGCCAGATGTGTGCCTCTTGCCTCAGAGGGACCTTTGGAGCTTTCTCTGCTGGGTGGGAGGCTGTGGGCAGATCCAGAGACCCAGGACAAGCCTCAGGGGGCCCCCATAGACACGTGCCTCAGTTTCCTCATCTGCAAAATTATGAGATGTGGAAAGATAAAATGACCAACTGGGAAGCCCACTGCACAAATCCTGTAGATATGTCTGTTCTTGGCGAACGTCCTGCTTCCAGCCAGCAGCGTATGCAGGGGGCATCCTTACCCCACTTCCTCCTTCACCTATATTCTGTCGGCTACCACGGCCACTGTGTGCCCTCCGTATCCCAAAGCCATGGCTCCATCCAAGTGACCATCAGCTCTCTCACCTGGACCACTTGCTGCACTAACTTCCCAGTGGCCTACCGCACCCACCCCTACCTCTCTGGCGTTTCCCAGGCCACAGCCGGAGTGAGTCTGCAGGTAGGGTTGATTGCATTATTCCTGTGGTTTAAAGTGTGGAATGCTGCATTAGCTTTCTTGTGGCTGGGACATAATACCTCCCACAATTTAAAGGAGGGTAGGTTTAATTTAGCTCATGGTTGCTGGGACTCAGTCCACAGTTAGCTGGTTCCAAGGCAGAAACATGGTAGAACAAAGATGCTTAGTTCATGGTGGCCAGGAAACAGATCAGGGAAACAGTGCCAGAGAGGAAGGTGTGAGGCACCAAATATAGACCACAAGGTCACATCTCTACCATCCAAACACATCTAAAAATGTGCTTCACCACTTTCCTGGGTGACTCACAAGCCATCAAGCTGACACTCTCTAACAGCCACGGGTGCTTCCCATCAGACTTTGTGTGGTACATGTCCTCTCTTCCCAGCTGCTACCCTTGACTCCCATGTTCCAGCCTCTTAAGGCTTCCCTTTTCAGCCACAGGGCCTTTGCACATCCTACCCCAGCCTGGCTTCTCTTACTAGTTGACTCCTACCCATGACTAGGAGCCCAGCCATCAGTCTCTAATCAGGAGGAGCCATCAGCAGTTATGCCAGTATATCCCTTTGGTCACTGCTGGGGCTGGACTGTGCATTTGAGGATGTTTTGGGTTGTGCCTCTCCCTGTCACTGACCTGAAGCCTCACTGGCCGTGAGGACATAGACCCTGTAGGATTTTCTCATCTTCCAGTCCCAGTGCCTGGGCTAAGAC